GACATAGGAATCCAGAGACTAATAAAGAGTCAGAAATATAAGTTTGAAAGGCATTGGGGGTCAGAGGACCTTTAGCTAAAGGAACTGAAGACTACCTCCTTGTTTAGGACCCTTGCTTTTCTTAACACAATTTGTCCTAAGGCAAGGTGGAGATAATACACTTCAAAGGGTAAGGTTTCAAAGGGTACAGAAGCATTGTCAGTTTGGGGGAATTAGCCTATGGCTGTTCAGGTGTTTGGCCAGTAGGAGGCAATAACATGTAGATGAAGATGCCTTTTAGCTGTCTGGAAGCCAAGAAATAATCTCTTTTCAGGTTTGGGCAAATGCCTTTGGCCATTCCCAACAGGTGACTATATGTGTGACTCAACCCTGTTGAGTCCCCAAGTTTCATCAACCTTTTGATGAAACTCTTGAAATTATGACATGCTGGAATTGGTTCCTGGCAGTCCTGGATTGTGAGAGGGCACAGGCCAGGCTGAGGGACCCTACCAGTGCACGATTGGGGCAGGGGAGGGACTGGGGCAGGGGAGGGACGCGAGAAGTTGGCCAGCAGGGGAGGGACTGCGAGAGGGCTCCAGAGCGTGTCCAGCTCGTCTTTCTCAGTCCCGATCTCTGGACCCCAGCAGCAAGCTAACCTACCGTTTGGAGTGTCTGTCCCCTGGTGGTCAGTGTATATCGTAGTGACTGGTCGACTGGTCAACTGTCTGCCCCCTGGTGGTCAGTGCACGTCATAGTGAGTGGTTGAACGGACTTAGCACAACATAGGCATATTATGCTTTGATTGGTTGAACGGCCAACTGGACGACCAAACACTTAGCATATTAGGCTTTTATTATATAGGATACTCCTTTTCTTACTGTGATAGCTCCATGTTAGTCTTGAATTTCTGTTTCTAACTATTGAATATAAATTTTTGAGACATACAGAAATTTCAAGTATTTTTTTTAGAATTGTATTAAATATAACCTTTTTAATCCTAATAAGTAGTTATTAACTTTAATTATAATAGACTATTTCTTATGGAATAAACTATATAACAAAAAAATTAAGGGCAGTTAACATTTACTGAGGGCTGTGTGCCAAACACTGTTCTGTTTGTGGATTCTTTTTTTTGAAGTGAACATATCCTCAAGATTTTATTGTTACATAATAAAACAAAATACGAAGCTTAGAACTAGGTCACTAGGCCCTGTCTCTCCTTATCTCCTCCTAGTTCAAAGTGCTTACGTCTCTTAATAGCCAGTGTTCTCTTAGATCTTCAGTCAGGCCCAACACATTCAAGCCTCAGCACAATCTTCTTTAAACAAATTTTTAAAAATTTATTGATTTTATTATTTAAAAGATTTTTTGTTGAAAGTATTATATATGTCCCCCTTTCCCCCCATGGACCTCCTTTACCCTCCCTCCCCTGCCCCAAGAAAGAGAGCAAGAGAGAGAGAGAGAGAAACATTGATTTGTTGTTCCACTTATTTAGGCATTTATTGGTTGATTCTTGTATGTGCCCTGACTGGGGATTGAACCCATAACCTTGGTGCATTAGGACAAACACTCTAACCAACTGGGCTAACTGGCTAGCACAAACTTCTTTGTAGTTTTATCCTTTTTGTGGAAAATCAGCTTAGCCTGTCCACCACAGCCACCCTGCTTCCTGTCGTAATGCCGCTTTCCCTGTGCACAGAGCATCCTTGCCTGGTTTGTATTGTTACTTTGTGGGACTTATGCTTGTCCACTTTTTACGGAAAATCCAGCGGGTTTTAGGAACACTCTCCATGTTTGCGAGAGCGCTGTTGGCATGGAAAGCGTTTGTGGATCCTTATGTAGTTGTCACAACAGCCCATGGAAGCGGATACTATTATCCCCATGTAATATCTGTGGAAAGCGAGGCATTTGTTCAGATTCCATACTTCAGTAAGTGAAAGAGGCAGGTTTACAACCAGGGTCCCTCATTGGCTTTTGTGGTGCTTTCTGTAGGTAAAGATCCTTTCTTGCTCTAGAGTAAAGCATAAAAAGATAGTTATCAATAAGCACTTTGGATTGCTCTAAAAATATACATCCCTTCACCTTCTTTCATCCAGTGCCCCCTGTCCCCCTCCCGCCCCGTTCCTCCTGACAGCTGTCATCTGTTCCATGTATCCCTGCCTGTGTTTCTATGTTGTTCATCGCATATAAATATATTCCTAGAGAGACATAAGTATTTCATACTTGCATTTCATTAATCAAAGAGTGCAATGTATTGAGAAGTTAAAAAGCTAATATAAATTTCAAGCTTATATTTTATAACTTAGATTATTTTCTCGTTCCCTTAAATTAATAAGCAACCTCACTGCATCTAATTATAACTCATTATTTGGAAGGTAGACTGAATCCTGAGTTTTCTTTTTTTTTTTTTTAACTTTATTGTTGACACTATTCCAGATGTCACCCCTCACCTATTGCCCATCTCCACCCATCCTCTGCTCCCCCTTTCCTCTGGCCATCACCACACTGTTGTCTGTGTCTGTGGGCTAGGCATATATATTCTTTGACTAATCCCTTCACCTTCTTTCATCCAGTGCCCCCTGTCCCCCTCCCGCCCCGTTCCTCCTGACAGCTGTCATCTGTTCCATGTATCCCTGCCTGTGTTTCTATGTTGTTCATCAGTTTATTTTGTTCATTGGTGAATCCTGAGTTTTTAAATAGGTCTCTCTCGGGTGTTATGAGACTTACTGCCTATTGGCTAAAATGTGTAAGTGCCTTGAGCTCTTCAGAGGAATAAGACCGTGTTATTGTGAAGTAACATGAAGTGGGTCATTCTGTTTGCTATGAATTAGCAAAAATGTGGCCAGGTTAGCTGTAGAATCTATGTGGGTAGTTCCAAGATTTTTTTCAACTATTAAAGCTGCTTTTTACTTAAAAAATGTAGTAAATTAGAAAATATGTCCTAACTTCAGGTTGTCATGCACACCCTTTGGCAGTGTCTGTCATAGCTCATGGATAGCTGCTCTCTTTCTTACCTGAAGAACTTCTGGAGTCAATAGAGTTTAAAACATTCTTTCAAAAAAGTCTTACAGTTACTCTGATCTCAGAAAAGCATGCTACTTTTATATATTCTTTTATAGTTAAAAAAATTGGTTGTTATAAAGGCATAGAGCACAGGCACTTATTTTCTTTTTGTTTGCCTTCTGTCTTTGTGATAGATTCGAGCTGCTAACCTCAGTGGAGACTGCTCACTTGTGAATGAAATATTCAGGCTACGTTTTGGATTAAAACAACACCATCAGGTAAAAACTACATGAAGTCACTTACCTTTAAGAGTCTAAGAGTAGCCGAAACTGGTTTGGCTCAGTGGATAGAGTGTGGGCCTGCGGACTGAAGGGTCCCAGGTTTGATTCTGGTCAGGGCATGTACCTGGGTTGTGGGCACATCCCCAGTGGGAGGTGTGCAGGAGGCAGCTGATCGATGTTTCTCTCTCATCGATCTTTCAGACTCTCTATCTCTCTCCCTTCCTCTCTGTAAAAAAATCAATAAAATATATTTTAAAAAAAAGTCTAAGAGTGGAAATAATGAATAAAGAAATGAGAAGTACATTTAGTACTTGAAACTTGGAAGAACTACTTACATGAAATGAATACAAACTGTATACCGTTTAAGCCAAAGAGATGGAATTTAGTTCTGTTTTATAATTATGGGTGAGCTGTGTGCCTGACTGAGAGATTTTAATAGTGAAAAGAACTATTATGCTCTCGCTCTTGGGACACTTGTGGATGGGTAGATAAGGAGTGGAAGTGAAATCACAGCCTGTCTTACTGTTACCTAGCAGTTAAAGACTTACATTGTTTTTAAAAAAATATATTTTATTGATTTTTTACAGAGAGGAAGGGAGAGAGAAAGAGAGTTTAGAAACATCGATGAGAGAGAGACATCGATCAACTGCCTCCTGCATATCTCCTACTGGGGCTGTGCCCGCAACCCAGGTACATGCCCTGACCGGAATCGAACCTGGGACCTTTCAGTCCGCAGGCCGATGCTCTATCCACTGAGCCAAACCAGTTTCGGCCTGGACTTACATTTTTAAACTACCACTGTATTCTCAAGATAAAGAAATAATACTTTTCAGAAGAGACTTCACTGCGGCACAGGTTATGGCAGTGTCTTAGTGCGCCTTTGAAGGATGTATGATGTCATAGCAAAGTTTTGGATTAATACAGGTTGAATATGATCACATTGTTTGCGGGTAGTTTTTATTGCGCGCTAACAGGTGGCAGGGGCCATTTTTGCTAATTTTTTGCACAAATGGCAACGTTCAGTAAAATTACGATAACTTTAGTTTACGTATTTATACATTACCCGCATTCTACCGCTAGTCTATAAAAAACGTATTAATACGTGTCCTGCGCTCTACTATTTACAGTCAACATAAAATGTATAAATACGTTTCCCGCATACAATGTGTGATAAACTGAGCTGAGAGGGGTTTTGTAGACAAAACTAAACAAAACGAATAACAAAACCCCAAAAGAAAATTAGAGGCGAGATCATCCTGTTAGAGAGCTTTGCTATCACGTCATACATCTATCCGCCACAGATGGACATGGGAGAGGAGCATGGAACCAATGGACTGATCATGAATGTGAGCAGTTCTGCCCATAGCAACCAAGGGGCTCTGAGTCCACACTCAGGGAAAGGCTGGTGAGAGACTTTCTGTGGGAAGAGCATGGTGGCCCGATTTGTGAGGGTCATGAGCATCAGGATAGCAGTTCCAACCGGATAGTAGATGCAAAACAGGGTAGGCTTGGAACAACAACAGAAAGACCCTTGGTTCTCTAGCGAAGGGTCACTCATCTCTAGGGTGGAGGGAAGAAAATCCAGTGAACTACTCAGAGAAGGTGTGACCTTGTGAATGGGAGCTAGAGGAGAAGCCTGCTGCTTGGAGAGGGTAATGCCTCAGGTAAGGCTGTTACGCTTTCAGCCTGTGTGAGTCAGCTTAGTGATATGGCGCTGAGCTGCTGTGCCACATGTCTTCTGTGCCCTGGGATCCCTGCGCCTCCCCTCCAGTGAATACAGCTTGGGCTGCATTTGGATGGCCTGTGTGTTCTGGCTCTCAGCGGGAAGGGTGGAAGAAGAGGATAATGTGGTTAAAGCATGTGATCCAGGGCCCAGAGTCTTTGAAAGAGAAGTCTCTCCTTTTTTTTTTTTTTAAACTTGGGTAGCAGCAGCAGCAGCAGCAGCAAATGAATAGAACTAGCAGCAGGAAGTAACTATGGGGAGGTGGTGGGAGCCTGGTTGAGGGAGGAGAGTGTTAGGAATGGAGTTCTGCTTTTGTACCCGAGACGCACAAACATCAGCCCGGCTGGCGGGGCTCGGTGGTTGAGCATGGGCCTATGAACCAGGAGGTCACAGTTCGATTCCTGGTTGGGCCACGTGCCCAGGTTGCGAGCTTGATCCTCAGTGTGGGGCATGCAGGAGGCAGCTGATTAATGATTCTCTCTCATCATTGATGTTTCTATCTCTCTCTTCCTCTCCCATCCTCTCTGAAATCAATAAAAATATATTTAAAAAAGAAGCATAACCATCAACCACAGTAACTGTAAATTTGCACACTTTTTAACAGAAATTTATTACATCTACAAAGAAGTGAATCTGAATTGTGATCTATACTTGTTTCTCCCTGTGTCTCCAGGAGACAAATTTTTACCACCATTTTCCCCCCTGAAGGGGAGAAATTTCCTCTGTGGCAATTGTGGTTGTGGCTTCGTACCAATCTTTCTCTCCTTCTTATTCCTTTATGCCTAGGGTTTATTTTAAAAATCAGTGTTTGGTGTAATTTAGATTGAGAAGCACTGTTTTATATTCCAGTATCTGTGGGCATCTCCAGGCTGGGCATGCTGACCAGGCCAAGTAAAACTGGGAACATGCAGAGAAAATCAATGATTGACAGGATGCGCAGCCTTCAGAACCAGTGTTTGGTTATTTTTCAGGAAAATGTTAAATGCCATTCTTTTGAGTTTTCGTTTGGATCTGTGGGGAAATACAATGAGTAAAAGCTCTTCAAGAATTGGAATGGTAGGATCTTATCTTTCTTTCCTTTTTTCTTTTTTAAATTAAAAAAAATATTTTTATTGATTTCAGAGAAGGAAGAGGGAGAGATAGAAACATCAATGATGAGAGAGAATCACTGATTGGCTGCTTCCTGCATGCCCACCACTGGGGATCAAGCCTGCACCCCAAGCATGTTCCCTGACTGGGAATTGAACCATGACCTCCTGGTTCATAGGTTGACGCTTAACCACTGAGCAACACTGGCTGGGTGACCTTATATTTCTTAAAATATTTAGAATACTGAGAAATTCTGGTCTATTATAATGTAACATTAGGTAAATTATCTTCTTAGAACGAAAACTTGAATACCCATTCAAAGAACACTCAGAAACAAACAAAAAAAGTTTGATTTGTTTTTCCCTGAAAAATGAAGACATCTTCAAACTATGTGTATATATGTGTGGTTTTCTATTGCTTGCAGGAGATAGTGTTTCTCTCAAAGGAAAAGTTACTTAGCATTGCTCAATGCAAAGGAAGAGAGTTACCGAAGTAAAGTATATTTTACATTTATTTAAATTTTATTAAAAATCCAACCAGAACCTTATTTATCCACTTTTCTGTGATTTTGCCAATTGGGAGTTATTGTTTGGCAAACACTGTCTAGAACTTTAGAGAATGACATCTGCTTATGTTATTGGAAAGGATGAGAAAATTGAAAGAGGTTTTACTTATACCTAAATAAATTTTAGAGTGAGCTAATTTCTTTTTTGGAATGACAGAATGAAATAATAGGAAAATAAGTATTTTTTAAAAAACATTTTTTTATTTATTTCAGAGAGAAAGGGAGAGAGAGAAACATCAATGATGAGAGGGAATCATTGATTGGCTGCCTCCTGAATGCCCCCCACTGGGGATTGAGCCAGCAACTCAGGCATATGCCCTTGACTGGAATTGAACCCAGGACCCTTCAGTCCACAGGCCGACATTCTATCCACTGAGCCAAACCAGCCAGGGCAAAAATGAGTTTTGATTATGGTTCAGATATTATATAAAATGTTATTTCATGGTTAAATTTTCATATAAAACTAAAGCCACATCCTTTTTTTTCCCTCTTTAGACTTGTGTCAGAGACAGAGCCATTCTTTCTATCCTGGCTGTTAGGAATGTCAGCAAAGAAGTAGCTGAAAAGGCTGTTGATGAAGTTTTTGAATCTTGTTTCAATGACCATGAACCTTTTGGAAGGATCCCACATAACAAGACATATGCAAAATATGCTCACAGAGACTTTCAAAACCGTCATCGGTATTACTCAAATATATGAAGGCAATGACATTTTATATTACAGAGCCTCAGTGATCATGAAGAAAATATGGTTCTCAGGTGCACAAATGTATAAAACATAAATGATCAATTAAATACAGATAAGACAGAAGATGCTGATCCTAGTATATTATCAGAAAATGTAACTCTGGTGAAAAATGGAACTGCCTTAAACTTCAAGGCAAAATTATATCTGTATAGCTAGCCATTCGGTGAATAAGGCAAATCAATTACATTTTTGTATTTTCTACATTGTACTTGTGTTTTTGATTTTTGTGATTTTATTTTTATTACATACTAGAGGCCCAGTGCATGGATTCTTGCACCGGTGGGGTCCCTTAGCCTGTCTTGCGCCCTCTCGTAATCCAGGAACCCTTGGGAGATGTTGGAGAGCTGGTTTTGGCCTGATCTGCAGCGGGGACTCCACTGGTGCACGAATCCGTGCACTGGGCTGGTTTCGGCCCGATCCCCGCAGGCCAGGCAAGCGGGACACCACCAGTGCATGTGCACTGGGCCTCTAGTATGCATATAAGATCTTTGGTTAATCTCTTCCTGCCCTCCTTCCTCCCCACTTCCCTTTGAGATTCATCAGTCTGTTCCATGTTTCCATGCCTGTGGTTTCTGCTCCTGTGTTGAGCGTCTGCCCCCTGGTGGTCAGTGCATGTCATAGCTACCAACTGGTCAGCCAGTCGGCTGGTCGCTTAGGCTTTTATATATATAGATGATTATTTTAATATTTGATTAAGAAAACTGTGAAGTGGTACCTTGTATAATGTTGATAGGAGACCACTGTTGGTATTTACATTAAGTGAAAAGAAAAATGTATTGATTTTATTTATAGGACATGTGTTGAGATGTTATGATCAAAACATTTAATGAATGAAAGTTGGAAATAATTCATTCAATGATCAATGCCTACTCCACTCTCTGCTCTTCTTTCAACATGTATGTGGAGACTATATGGCTCAGTTTTCTGGGGACAGTTTTTTTTAAATATGTTTTTATTGATTCTTTTTTCTTTTTTTTATTTTAAGTGAGAGAAGAAGGGAGAGGAATAGAGAGATAGAAACATTGATGAGAGAGAAATATTAATCGGCTGCCTCCTGCATGCACCCCATTGGGGATTGAGCCTACAACCAGGAATCGAACTGGTGACCTCTTGGTTCATGGGTTGTCGCTCAACTGCTGAGCCACACCAACTGGGTGTTTTCTGGGGAAAGTTTTGATTAGATTTTTTAATTTTTAATTTTTTAAAGAAAAGTTTATTGCCTTAGCTGGTTTGGCTCAGTGGAAAGAGCATTGGCCTGTGGACTGAAGGGTCCTGGGTTCAATTCTGATCAAGGGCACACGTGTGGATTGCAGGCTCAATCCCCAGTAGGGGATGTGCAGGAGGCAGCCAATCAATGATTCGTTCTCATCATTGATGTTTCTATCTCTCTCTTCCCCTTTCTTCCTCTCTGAAATCAATAAAAGTATATTTAAAAAAGAGAATAGTTTATTGATTTTTAGAGAGAGAGGAAGGGAGAAGAGAGAAACATCCATGTGAGAGTGTAACATTGGTCGGCTGCCTCCTGTGTGCCTCCCACTAGGGATTGAGTCTGCAGCCTGGGCATGTGGCCTGACCAAGAATCACACTGGCAACCCTTCCGTGAATGGGATGATGCCCCACCAATTGAGTCACACTGCCAGGGCTTTCTTTATTTTTAGTAAAGGCCAGTACATTAAATTCACAATGCAATTTAAACATATTTATATATATTTAATCCTTATCTGCCGATATGTTTTTTATTGACTTTTTAGAGAGAGAGGAAGGGAGTGAGAGAGAGAGAGAGAAACATTGATGTGAGAGAGAAACATTGATCAGTTGCCTCCTGTATGAACTCTGACCGGGGATCAACCCACAACCTAGGTATGTGCCCTGACTGGAAATTGAACCCACAACCTTTTTGGTGTATGGAATGATGCTCCAAGCAACTGAGCCATTTGACCAGGGCTCATTTTCATATATTTATAAGATTTTTCACATAATCATTCTTAAATATTTTATTAAGCCCTGATCTGAGTTTTGAATTCAGAAAACATGGTTCTTTTATCTATACCTCTTTTTTTTCTTTTTTAATATGACCCTCTTTTTTAAAAAAATATATTTTTATTGATTTTTTACAGAGAGGAAGGGAGAGGGATAGAGAGTTAGAAACATCGATCAGCTGCCTCCTGCACACTCACCACTGGGTATGTGCCTGCAACCAAGGTACATGCCCTTGACCAGAATTGAACCTGGGACCCTTGAGTCCGCAGGCCGACACTCTATCCACTGAGCCAAACCGGTTAGGGCTAATCTGACCCTCTTAACTGGTAACTGCATCTTCTAGCTGTCTCAGCAAACATCTCTTGGCCTATGTCCAGACTGAAAGACATTGTGTGTATAGGTGGTTTATTAAAGGTTCAAACATAATGAAGTTAGCAGGATTCTTTCTTTTGAGTTAAAATTTGATTAAATATAAATTATAAAGTGTTAACTCAAGCTTAATAACTTATTAAACATTAAAATGTGGTTTGAAGATTCTTGGGAAGATGGTGGAATAGCAAGCAACAAATCTGTCTCCCCACCTAGATAAAATTATACTGACAGAATCTGTTTAATGTAAATATTTTGGACTTCTAGAGTCTATTGAAGGCTTGTAACTTTCAGGGGGAGGGTTGGGAGGTAAATTGAAGCTAATTTTGGCCATTTTCAGCTGGTAGCACGGTAGTAGGTACTCATCTCTCACTAGTGTGCCTTGTGGCAGGCAGCTATGCATGTTTTCCCAGAACAGCTTGTATACAGATTGTGGGAACCAGGCAGGAGGGGTGAGGGCAAAAAGCGCCCTCTCCTCCATTTATTTGGGATCTGCTCTGATTGCTCATTGCTGCTGCTTTTCACAGAGGTTCAGACAGAGAGATGGTGGCATTGTTACACTTCCTCCCATTTTTGCAAACTGCTTCTCACCTGTCTGAAATGACCTACAGGGTATTTAAAGGGCTGATGCCCTTTTTTATTTTCTATTAATTTTTCTCTTTCCCCCCCTTTTGGGAACCATACATTAAAGACTAGAACATTAAGAACAATGGCATATACAAGGGAAATTAGAAAGTCACTATGCATGCCTAGGGAAAGGTACAGGCTCAGAAAAGACCCAAGAAAACCTTAAGTTTATACTTTTAGGCAGATCCTTGGTACAGGGACAACAACAAAAATCTCCAAAAAAACAAAAACAA